GATATTTGGAAATTAGAGATGATAATTTCATTGGTGCATTATATATTTTTCGCTTATGAAATAAATATATTTTAATTACAAAACCTTAAAATAATATTCTCTCTTACATTTAAAAACTATATTTTTCTTAAATTTTATTTTTAATTTATATATTTGTTTAGATAATCTTAACTTCTTTATATCAACTAAGAGAAATTAAATTATTAAATAGGTAACGAAATATAATAAGAGATTAATAAGATCATCGATGACAAAAAAATAAAAAAATAAAAAAGTAGAATGGAAAACAAATAGATTGAAAAAGTGATTGTAACTATTAATATTTGTAATTCCCTCACAGTTGTGACAAAATCACATTAGTAACCTTAAAAATTATCTGTAGCGTATAACGATAGATGTACTATAAAAAGCACAAAAGTGCAAAGAGAACAAATTACAAGACCCCAACGGGGTAATCTAAGACCCCAACAGGGTAATGAGACAGGGGCCAATGGCCCAAACCAAAAACACGCCTAATAAAAGAACAGGAAGAGAAAACTGAGAGGACACGCACATGGCGGCCTAGAGAACTCCACAACCGAAAATAAAGGAACATAAATAACAGAGCCACTGCACAATGCCTAGCCTGTATTCATATCCAAACAAAGACAAACAAACACACAGACCAACTAACGAACAAAAATCACAGAAAACAGCAAACAAACACTAAGCACACTAAATAAGCCCTTCCTAAGCAGCGAAACCAAGCTGAGCCGATGGATACCGAGTCAATCCAGAGAGAGTCCCACAGCCAAAGAGAGCCGACCCGAAACTGCCCAAACACCAACTTGGTGGCCTAACGAAGTCAAAACCCAAGCCCCAGAACAACATCCGAAATCAAACTCGAGCCACAACCTCAACATCAAAAATGCCTCAGGACAACCACGTGATCGAGCCCACTAACACCACTAGCGAGTCCAACCAAACCCAGTAAACCCCCGAACCACAAAGATGTCGAGGCCGCAACTACATCACCGACCACCCGAAACCACTGCACACCACCACCCACCACTGCCCCACCTCTGCCATCACCACTGGCCGGAGGTCAGAGCAATGGTCAACCCCGGACCCAACATCAAAGGAACGGGGAAAAAGGATGGAAGCACAGTGGAGCTTCGGCCGTCCGACACCATCGCCGTCGAACAACCGAGGCACCATCCACCCGACCGAATCCGCCGCAATCCTCCGCCCACCACCGCCCCACCTCTGCCATCACCACTGGCCGGAGGGCAGAACGATGGTCCTCCCCAGGCCCGCCAACAGAGGAAAAGGGAAGAAAACAGAGAACTCGGCGGAGATTCGAAACCCACCTCCCGTCACCACTCACTAGGAAACCGAAGAGAAGAGCCCGCAGATCGGCCAAAGAAAACCGACCCAATCTTAAGAGATAAAGACTGACCTGAGCGAGCGAAGAGAGAGGCGCGAGAAACCGGGCGAAGGCCAGGCGGCCAGGGATGATCACCGATTCGAGCTTAATTGCCGCTGAGGAAGGCCAATCGACTCAGCATTGAAGGAGAACGAGCGGCGGTTAGGGTTGGGAGAAAGGGGATCGAAGAAGAATTCAATCGGATATTGTTGAATAATTTAAATATGTGTATTATCGTATTAACTTGTTATCATGATATATACTTCAGTGGATTTTTACTAGATTTTGAAAATGACAGTGAACATTCACGACCATCCAACTGTAATTAGTATTCAAAATATATCTTAGATTAGAGTTGATAATAATAATTTGTAACTCATTTGCTCACACTTAATTAAAAGACTAATACATTCTGAATGTTGAAAATAAGGTCCTAAATTATAGTTTCATTTTTTAAAATTTGAAATTATAAACTCATCATTACATGTATTTTATCTTTATAATAGATATGAGTAAACATGTAAAGACATAGTGATGAAAATAAACATTGATGAAGGTAATTTGTAATTAATATGTATTGAATTAAAAGGAATATTTATTATATATTTTAATACTTATTATTACTTATATGTATTACTAACTTTTCTAAATCATGAAAGCATCATACTACTTTTTTTTTAAAAAAAAATTTTCTCTATTTCACAAGAAACATATCTACCATAAATAATGAAAACACAACCACAATAAAAAAAAAATATTAATTATAATATCACAATACTAAAATATCCAAAAAAATAATGAATACAGTAAATATCCAAAAGTTATGTTTTTTTTTCTTAAGGGTAATTGGAGTTTTAGATTGAATGAATAAAATGAATAAAAAGTAAATATATAAGTTATGATTTATTGTGTTGAGTCTATTTTGGTTTCTTATAGGACAACTACATTATAATAAACTAATATGAATAAGTATGTATAATGATTCTCATTTTCTGTCCAAATAGAATACACCAAAATTCTATAAAAATAAAAAAAAAGAATAGATATCAATATTAACTTATTTTAATAAAATATTAACTTATAAATTTGTTAATTGTAAAATACTATATATCTCATACAGTTCAAATAAAATACACAAAAAGGTAAACAAAATAACATAATAAAATAATAATTGGATATCAATAAACAATTATTATTTTAGTAAAATGTTATTCATTTTTTTTTTTTCAAATCAATTAACTGATTAAGTTATATGAATTTTTACCATGGGCAATTTTAGAGAGAAGCGAAAACTATGGGTAGTCGTCTAGTATATTTGTAATTTTTTCTTTATTAGCTATAAAATGTAATATACATACTTTTTAGGCATGATATTTAATATTTTTTCTTCATTGTCTTTTATAAATAAAGCCTAATTAAAGATTTTGGATATTTAAGTGGACCGTGAAATGTGGAAGCTTAATACTACGTACCTTTTCTATTTTTCTCTAATTCACAAGGCATCCCCACTATACATAATGAAAATGAAAGTATGATAAAACATAAATGAAATAAAACATTGATGAAGGTAAGTTTTGAATAATATGTATTGAAAATTATATAAAATGAATATTTATTATTTGGCTTAATACTTGTTAATTCTTATATGTATTACTAACTTTTCCAAATTGTAAAAGCACCATACTACTTTTCTAATTTTTTCTCTATTTCACAAGAAAATTATCCACCATAAATAATGAAAATACAACCACGATTAAACAAATATTAATTATAATGTCACAATACTGAATTATCCAAAAGAAATAATAAAAATGCAGTAAATATCCAAAAGTTATGTTTCTTTTTCTTAAGGGTAATTGGAATTTTAGATTAAATGAATATAAGTAAATATATAAGTTATGATTTATTGTGTTGACTCTATTTTGGTTGCTTATAGGACAACTACATTAGAATAACCTAATACTATGAATAAGTATGTATAATGATTCTCATTTTCTGTCCAAATAAAATACACCAAAATTCTATAAAAAGGAAAAAAAAGAATAGATATCAATATTAAATTATTTTAATGAAATATTAATTTATAAATTTATTATTTGTATAATACTATATATATCTCTTATTGTTCAAATAAAATACACAAAAAAGGTATACAACTGAACATAATAAAATAAAAATTGGATATCAATCAACGTTATTATTTTAGTAAAATGTTATTTATTTTTTTATTTTTTTTACAAAATCCATTAGCTGATTAAGTTATATGAACTGTTTTTACCATGAGTGCAATTTTAGATAGACGCAAAAGCTATGGGTAGTCGTCTAGTATATTTGTAATTTTTCTTTATTAGCTATAAAATGTAATATACATACATTTTAGACATGATATTCAATATTTTTTCTTCATTGTCTTTTATAAATAAAGCCTAATTAAAGATTTTGGAAACTTAATACTACCTTTTCTATTTTTCTCTAATTCACAAGACATGCCCATTATACATAATGAAAATGAAAGTACGATAAAACATAAAGTAATTATAATATGACAATACTAAAATAAAAAAAATAATAATAAATAATAATAATAATAATAATAATAATAATAATAATAATAATGAAATGCAACAGTATGATAAAATTTAAATGAATCTTTTGAAAAACATTTAGATGACATATAAATTAGTGGTATACCTTAAAATGCAACAATTTGTGCTTGAAAAGGACCAACAATTTAGAAGGTGATGCTCCAAAATGCGACTATGCATACTCTTGTCATAAATAAATTAATATTTGTAGATGATGAAGAATAATGGGATGAGATTAATATAAATAATATAAATAAAAAATAATTGTATATGACGAAGAGAAAATGAAAGAGTTGGAGACAACTTATATATAATAAAAAAGATAGGTGTGTGGTTGTAATGAGGTTTAAATAAAAGTTATAATATTACATTTATATCCTTCAGACAAAAGTTACATTTTTTATTTCTTAAGGATATTATTGGCAATTCAAGTTTCTATTTAAATGTGGTTGGATGAGTTACAAGAGAAATGCTATGGAGTCAATGGTTGGCTCCTTTATGGAGCCAACCACCAATGTTATGGTGTCACGTAGGCCATGTGGAGTTAATTATTTTTTCACATGGCTTACGTGACACCATAACATTGGTGGCAGCCAATCATTGGCTCCATAGCATTTCTCTGAGTTACAAATCATCATTATCAACTCTAATTTCAAATCACAAATTACATTTATGTCCTTTAAAGTAACATCTTTTGAGGGTAATATGGGTAATTCAAAATTTTCAAGAAACAACTCATCCTTTTAAGATAGTTATAGATTTGACGAGAAATTACATCAATTTATTATGACATGGGAAAAAAATTGGTCTTCCCGTACACAATAGTAGTTATGGCCGGTTCTCCAAACTCACCTAACTGATTTGCAAAACATGAAAGTTGTGATATAATTAGCAAAAGTTAAAAGGTCGCGATTAAAATACAAATTTGTCAAAGGTGATAAAATTACGAGCAAGTTTACCAAACACGGAACTTGAGTTGGCGCTTTAAAGTTGCAAATTGAGTGCAGAAATATTCATAATTGAATGTACATTGCAGTTGAAATCTCTGCATTTGATCAAAGCAGCTAGCGCAAAAGTGCACTGTAGCATCAGACACAAGATCACATTTAGGCGTAAAAGATCACCTCAGATCACTACTGAGACACACCTTCAGTTTAATTGGTATTTATATGATCTGAAACAGGAAATGCCAAGTTTCTTTAGTGGTAAAAAGAGACTCAAATGCATATCAACTACACGGGTACATATCACCATGAACAAAGAAACTGTAGTTTATTTTATGTTCAGTTCTTTCAGACTACTTACATGAGACGTACAAAAAACTGCCTTTTTTTCTTCAAGAAAGACAAACAAATATGCAAAACAAGCACAAGGGATCTATACTGCATTTGAAGCAGCATTTTTCTTTTTCCTTTATAAATCACTTCTTTATTATCTTGGGTCCATTGTAAGGAACCCCAATCACGCATAACTCTTCAGGTTTGTCTCTCTCCTTGAGCCAAGCACACCCATTAGGATCTTCATCATCCAGCAATAGCCCTTCAACTAAAAATACCAACAATTAAATAAAACAGAAAAAATAAAAAATATTAGTATGATGAAATCTTTTAGAAAATTTTAGCAAATTATCATATTCATGTGTTAAATAGGGGGCATGGACTTCTTATTTCATTGTATTTGATTTATCCCATTCCATCCAAGGCTAACTGCACTTTGATTGAGGAAGACATATGCATGTTTGTCTGGATTGCAAGTTATTTTCTTTGTTCCTTTTGGTTTTTTGTAATGTTAACCTAGCAATATATTCCACAGAGTCAAATTACAATTGAGATTTACGGTGTGTTTGTATATAAAATAACTCAATTCATACTCAATCCATACTCAAAAATTTATCTCAACTTTCAATAACTCTACTTTCCTCAGTGTTATCAATATAATTAAATAATATCAATAAATTTTTGTACACATCACATCAACTTTAATACACTATTCATTCATCTATCACCTACTTTTACATCAAATCAACTTTAATTATTTTATTTTAAATATTCTCTTAATATGAACTCCAAATCCCAGTAACAAACGTCCATACCATTTTTTTTTAGAATTAAGCATAATTAATAAAAAAAATTGAGCAAATATATTTGTATCCAAGCACGCCCTTAGTGTGTAAAAGAATGTGACTTTAGAACTGATGATAAAATATACCTGGGAATTTGGAGAAAGGGTAGTCAAAGTAATACTGGCAATGTCGACCATCAGGATCACAGTATGGAGGGCCAAGCACATCTAAAACGGCACATGCCGTCTTAGCCGTAAAGCAATGCATGTTGCCACCATCAGCTGGATAAAGAATTGAAGTCCGACAAGGTGCAGTGAAGTTCGAGTCGACCTTCAGCTTCGCCATGCGTAATCCATCTGAGAAAAAACCAAATTTTGTATTTATTCCCAAAATAAAATTTTAAACTCTCAAGTTAAAGCATTTCGACATTTTATCTGCCGAAAAAAAGTTACACTTGTATTATTTTATTTAATCAAATATCATACATACAAGAAAAGAATAGGTAATTTTTTATTTTTTTTTGGGGGGGATTTTCTTCTTGGACCCTCTATTAACCTATGAAAGTCTTTGATGTAAAGAAAGTCTTTTGGCTTCACAAGAACATACTGTTTAGTGCGCTAGTATTGACAGAGGCGCCATTAAACCAGTCATAAGCCTTGATATGCATTGTTCCAAATAGAAGCTTGCCGAAAACTGTCATTCCAGGATGATTATGAAGTGGAATGACACTTGTTGGGGGCAAACAGAAGATTCCAATCTACAATAATTTCCAAATAAATATTCTATTACACTGAAAACGGTCATAAACAATTAGTAGGTACTCAGGATTGGGGTGATGATGACTAATTACAAAATCTACCCTATATTAGATATTTTTTTCATTTTTTGTGATTAATCTTGCGATTAGTGATATTTCTTACCGAGAATTGGTCACACTCATGGAGATGCATATATGATATGGTCGGAGCTCGTTTGCTGCTGAAAAAAGGCATGTTTGGACTCAGGCCCACGTCCTCTTGAGTCATACCATCTGCATTCATTACAATTGGTTTAGCTTAAAAGAAAGCATATATTGAGTTCAAAAAATATCATTTATTATCTCTCAAGCATAAGAAATGATTTCAAATTTTCAACAGATTCTGTGTTGCCGAAACTATAAACGACCAATGGTATATCATCCCCGATTGAGACACAACTATTATAAAACCAACAAATGATCGAATCATGTTAAAATTTATGCCGACTTGAAAACTACATTCAGAAATCATGTGGTTATAGCAAACTTGCGTATCAAGTTTAACCCAATTCAAAGGCAATTTGTGTCAAGTTAAATGATGACACTACTTGACATTGAGCTGGCAAACAAATGTCTTCAACATTTTGCAACCAGACTCGGATTGATCAACCATTGTTTCGGAGTATTCTCCAAATATACCATTCAAGTTCTTATAATTCTGTTTTGTTAAAATAGTCATACTAATTAAATGTGGGAAAAGAGAGATTAATGTAAGTAAATGAAAAACTTATAATTCTGTTTTGTTAATAGTCATACTAATTAAAAGTGGGAAAAGAGAGATTTTTTTTCATTTAATGTAAGTAAATGAAAAACTTTATCTTCATGGGGTAAACGAAGATGATAAGCAAGATTTCTTGGTTGGAACTTGGAAGCACCAAGTATTCTTTTATTAATAAATGAGTTCGAAGGAAATACACGAGACAATAATTATTTCCTTTGTCCGCCAGAATTTCGAATAGTTTATCTCCATAAAATATTGCCAGAATGCATGAAGATGCTCCAAAATTAAGAACCCTATAGTTTGAATTCGTTTTTATTATTTATGGTCTTTATATTTTTCTTTTCCCATATTTATTGATTTATTTATATTTATGGGAATGGCCTTTTATCTTGCATTATGGACGTATTTCATCCATTATCTGACAACATTATCCCACGTAATTTTTCATCTTGTTCCCTTGCCTTTTTTTAAGATTATCTGAATACTAATTCTAATACTACGTGATGAAATTCCTATGGAAAATTCCAACGGAAATATATTCCAATAGAATTCCAACAGAAATTCCAATGCTATTATTTCTATCGGAATTTTTTCCCATAAATTTCCCATTTGTCGCTCACCCTTTCGTGGAAGTTTTGTTTAATCTCTATTTTCTTCGGGTTGCTAACTCGACGGCAGGAATTCCAACTGTTGGAATGAGTTTTCCATTGGATTTTGACGATTCCAACAGTATATTTTCCAACCGTTGAAATATGAACGAAAATAAAAATTCTAACGGAAATTCCTAGGGTAAAAAATTGTTGGAATTGTTGGAATGATAAAATTTCATCTTAATTCCAATGGAAAAAATCATTGCAAGGGAATAATTCCGTTGGAATTTTTGTTGAAATTATTTCAATAGAAGCTATATTATCATTGGAACATCCGTTGGAATTTTCATTGGAATATATTACATTAGGATTTTCTTGGAATATGACATTTTTTTTTGTAGTGCACAATATATCNNAAAAAAAAAAAAAAAAGAATATGAACTTATCCCATCTAGTACAGTGCCAATTCTTATCACAATATTATTAAGGCAAAAATTGAACTGCAATGAACGATGGGAGCCTTCGTTCGCAAAATATATCAAATAAAATATATATATAAAAAAAAAGAATACGAACTTATCCCATCTAGTACAGTGCCAATTCCAATATTATTAAGGCAGAACTTGACTGGAATGAACGATGGGAGCCTTCGTCCGCAACAATTTTGTTCATGTTCACAAAAAACAACCCCCATGCATGCAAGGGTTGTACCTTGTGCTACAAAATTGGCACGTTGCTCGAGATTGACTCAAATGTAAGACCAACGAAAACAGCTTCAATTTCCTTGAACTAACAGATATATATAATTATTGTAAATCCAACACACTACCATCAATTTCAAAAGATTGTAACATTAATTAAGACTTGAAAAGAAAAGGCAAAACTCGCTACTTAACATAAACTCAAGTTGAGCAAAACTTAGCAATATTATCTCAATCAGTTTCGTTGTAGCATCGAATGATTAAACTGGAGTAAAGAAAAAACATTTAAATTCATACCCAAAACAGCAGCAAGTTTTTGAACCTTTTCGGGCGAGGGGATGATTCCCGGTCCAGAATCGGCAAACACTTCCTTACAGGTATCGTAAAGTCTCTGAACCGGAGACCACTTCTTCTGCTTCCTCTTGCTTTTCTTCGATTCATCACTCGACTTCGACCCGCTAATCCTCATTTGCCTCACCAATTTCCGATGGGAAAAAAAATCGATCGATTTCTTTTCCTTTTTTAATCTCGGAATTAAAAGGGGCGAGCTGAGACTGAGATCAACTATTTTTAACAGGCACAGTAAATTTGGTGTTATCTATCCTCACCTATTTTGTAATTATCATATAAAACAAACATGTATTTGAAGGATTGAATGCGTTTGTCTATTGGGAGTATGCTTGTATGTATGTAGTTATGTATGTATTTATGTATGTAGGTATGTATGTAATGTGTATGTATCGAGAGTATGGTTTTGTGTACTTTTCAGATGGAAAACCAGGGGCTTCCAAACCAATGGGCTGTTTACAGGGAGCGGATTAGTTTTTTCATTTTCCTTTTTATTGTTTTGCANCAATTTTCATTCATCAACTATTTAGGTGAAATAAATTATTCTAAACAATAATATTATCTTAATAACAAAATACGAAGAAGATAATTTAGATAGACGATTGAATTATTTAAGTTTGTCAACATATGTGTGTGTGTGAAATGATTAATAATAACAATTAAGTATAAATAACTGATAGTTAAAAATAAGTGAATAATTTTTTTTTATTATTATTTTATTTTTTTTCTCAGTAAAACTGTCGCTATGTTTGTGAAAGAAAAATCTCAAACCAAATTAATTTATACTGAAAATTTAAATCAACTTTAACTCAACCCCACTATCCTCAATATTATCAATATAATTAAATAATAACAACCAATCATTTTTACATATATTATCTACTTTAATTCACTATTCATCCACTCACATAATTTTAACTAATCATCACATCATATGGCATCTCTCCTACTTTTACATCAAATTAATTTCAATTATTTTATTTTAAATATTATTTTAATATAAACTCAAAATCCCACTAACAACTAATTATATCACTTTTTCAAATTAACTTTAATTAATTAAAAATAACTTATTTTGAGTTAATTCACTTAAATTATTTCTTTTACAAACACATTTTCTTAAAATTTTCATTTGCATCCAACAGTTAGTTACCTTGGACAGTATAGTCACGAAAGCTATTATCACTTCTCAGTTAACGGATCCAATCATAAATTCCGTGCCTCAGCCATTCTCAAGACATCATTATATTAATCGCAAATTATTACAACCTATATCTATATATATATATATATATATATATATATATATATATAATAAGAATTATTATTTACTAAAAATAGTAATAAAAAATTTAAGAAATATTTATTGCATATCATTTTTGGAAACTTTTTAAATATCAGCATTACTTGCCTTCATATACACGTTTTCAAATAAGATATGATCAAAAAAATTACTTAAATAAATTTATTAATATCTGCAATATTTTTATTGATATTTATTATAATAAATTACAAGATTGATTTTCCGTAATTCATGTTGATAATAATTTGGTCAAGATAAATATTGTTTTATTAATATTTGTAATAGTTTCATTGATATTCATTATAATAAATTACAAGATTGATTTTCATGATCCATGTTGATAATATTTTGGTCAAGATAAATATTACACCATATTTTAAGTTCTAACCATAATATTAATTTTTTTTTTTTCACAAATATTCACTTTTTATCCAAAAATATTTATGAAAAATCAAACCAGTTAGGTAGCATTATTTTTCCAAGTAATCATATAAAATCAAGTTGGTGAATTAATCTTTGCCAATATATTTTTTTCTTAAGCTTTATTTTGTTAAATATAAAAAATAAATTATTCTTCAAATTAATATAATTTACCATTTAAGAGATAATGACCAGATACATTAAATAGTTTTACTAATGATAAAAAAATAAAATCAAAATATATTCTTAGGATTTATTTGTATATTATTGGCACCCATGATTATTTTTTTTATTTTTCTATTTTGATTTATTTCTATAATTAAATTCTTGTAAAATATATTTTCATTGCAGAATATGCTAAATAAACTATAAATCCTTATAATGTGAATTAGAAAAATCTTGATCATAAAAGGGATTGAGTTTTTGGTATTTTCTAAATCAAAGTTGTTTAATTACTATACAAAATTAAATTAAAAAAAAAAGGCGTGCAACTTCTATAACTTTGTAAATAATAATGATATTATATGACAACAAAATTTGTAATAAAATAATGATTAAGTATTATATAGTGAACAAGAATAAGTAAAATTATTATTCTCTCTTCTATCAAGGAATAAATATATATACTAAAACCAAATATATAATAGTATAATATGTTAGTGAGATAATATATTAATTATTTTACAAGCTAGCCCTAACATGCTCATATTTAATGTTTTGTAAAAAAAAAAAAACACTGATTAAAAGAGGTGCAAAATAGATTGTAACCTTATTGTTTATTACACTGATTAAAAGAGGTGGAAAATAGATGATAACCCTATTGCTCTATATACTTAAACGGACAAAACCTTTGAAAATAACCTATTTAATATTTTTATCCCGTGCATCGTACGGGGTATGTACTAGTACCACATAAACCATCATAATCATACTTTACTCTGTATATAACCACACTTGCGAAGTATAATCTCATCTTGCAAATACTTTAGCAATCTTATACTCTTCGAAAATCAAAAAGAGATCGTATAGAGATGTGAATTTGTCACATTCTAGACTTTTAATAGTCTATCTGAATTGTGCAATTTCTTTATCATTTTTTACTTTTACATTAATAATTCTTTCATTAAACGATTTGATTTTGACAAATTCCCCGTCCAATACAATTTCCATAAATTTCCACACTTAGCTAGTCTTTTTTTTTATTTTTTCAAACGATAGGATTCTTATTACATCAAGAAAATTTACAACGCAAAACACATCGAGTGTGAATGAGCTGTACAAAACCCGCGGCAACACGCCGGATACCAAACAAAGGCACACAGGCCTCACGCAAAAAACCTGTACAAAACACTAAACACTAAAACCTGCTAGTAAACTTGTACAACCAAACACTAAAGGGATATAAACAGAAAAAGCAAAACACAGATCAGCAACCATGACATTAAATATACTGGCCAGCCTATCATACTTGAGAGGAAACAAAATCAAATTCCTGCCACTCCTCTATCGCATTCCTTACCAATATTCTTGTCGGCATGTCCGTTTTGAAAAACCCACAAATTACGAGCCTTCCATAGCCACCAGAGGATATAAGTCGACAATTGAATCCTTCTTTCATTAATCTGCTTGTGGCTGAGCGAACATAACATCCACCACCAGTCTACGAATTTATTTATCTCGGAACCTTCATTATTCCATTGCACCGAGGCTAAGTGCTAGACCACCGCTGCTTTCGTGCATTTCCAGAAGAGATGCTCCATGGTTTCCTCCTCTTTGCCACACACCGGGCAGATTATATCCACCTCGATCCCTCTCTTTGCAAGATTCGTATTCACCTGTAGAATTCCTTCTAAACATCTCCACACAAAATGCAATACCTTCCTTTTAACCTTAAGTCCCCAGGTCCTGTTCATCACTTGCTTGATTTTCAGGGCACCTCCGCTGCTTTCCGGCCTGTCTGTATGAAGTGCATTAATCCGCATCAGCTTTTTATAAGCAGAAGAGACTGAGACACACCTTTCTTATCCGGAGTCCATAGGAATTTGTCCTCTTCAATCGGATTTAGACCCGACATTTTTAAAATTGTTTCCGCCGTGTCCTTGTCAAAACTGTTACGGATTAAATCCTCATTCCACTCCCAGCCATCACTTCTCAACAACTCAGACACCCATATATATTGTGGCTATGATACCCTTCTTTAAATCGGACTTTTCTTCCTTCGATTCCCGTAACCCAATTATACTCCAAAATCTTTGTTTTTCGACCACTTTTTATCTGGATCTGAATAAATTTGTCAAAATTGTTTTTAACTTCCATCCAGGTGTTCCAAATCCATGAGCCTCTTTGTTTCTTCGAAGCCTAAAAAAAAGAGTTGTTAGGGAAATACCTGGCTTTAAGCACCTTACCAACCAGGCTATTTGGCTTCGACAACAGCTTCCACAATTGCTTCATTATGATTGCTTCGTTAAACATTCTGAGGTCGTGGAAACCAAGTCCCCCCAAGCTCCTTCAGTTTTTCCATTGCATGCCATGCTCCCCAGTGTAGTCCATTGGCAATCTTATCTCCTTTGGACCACCAAAAATTAGCAGTAAATGACGAGATTTCTTTACAAATACTGATTGGAATTTTGAAGCACGACATAGTAAAAACTGAGAGCGCATTTATTACAGCCTTGATCAGGACTTCCTTTCCCACTTGAGACAAGAGTTTGTTCTTCCAGTTGGTCAGTCTTCTTTTTACTGCAACCACTACATATGAAAAGGTTTCTCGTTTCGATTTACCGATTCCCAACGGGAGCCCGAGGTATCTGGTTGATTTATGAACTGAGATGCCATCCAGAATTCTGCAAATGTTGGACTGAAGCCAAGTCGGGGTGTTCTTACTGAAGAAAATAGATGATTTGGCTAGTCTAAGGTTTTCTTTTTTCATGCTCTCGCCCCGCCGTCTGGTCATTGGCCAATCTTCAAGAGAAAGAAAAGAAATTCAACATCTCATTAATAATTTATTTTTCTTGCTATCACCATATTCACCAAATTCTCTGTAGGTGGTGGGAGTAGAGATTTTAGTAGCAAATGTATTTCAATGGAACGGGCCGGGTATGAATTTCGGCAAATCCAACCCACATACATTTATTTACCTGAACATGACTATCATATTATTGAGTGAAAAATTGAAACAAATCGTATTGATGAACAAGAGGGAGATAAATCTTCTTTTTTTTCCACCACAAACAAGCAATTTGTATAAAACTCAAATCAGTACGTCTATCGGATACCCAACTAAGTACAAATCACTAGCTCCAACTTCTGAAAAGAAGCACAAGCTCACAGGGAATTACACTTCGTTCCCTTCAAGAGCCATTTTGGCTAAAGAAAAAATAGTTGGACAAGTAATACAATCTCAAGAGAAAACACAATTATCAAACAAATTACAAAGATAATAACTATGATCAGCTACAATACCAAGTGGAATCAAATCTTTTTTTTTTAAACTAAGCCTATATACTAATTTCTTAGCAGACATACAACATTTTAAGGTCTTCCACTTCATTACTAGTGCTTTTCCAAAGCCTATCTTAATGCCACTAGAACAACCTCCACTGAACTCCCTAAGAATTCCTTAGATACAACTAGTCCTGAAGCATCTCTATGCCTTTGTAAGCCTTGCATCCCAACCCCACCTTGCCATCTTTGCCACAGCCAAAGAAACCCCACCTTGCCAA